AACACGAAGAGTTGGACACAACTTAATGACTGAACAACAATAACAATGGGGAGTCTCATATTAACTTTATTTAATTCAATTTGAATCAAATCTCTCTCTCTCTCTCTCTTCCTCTTCCTCTTTGGTTTGCAGCTTCTGGAAGCCCTCACAGAGGCAAAGGGCAGTCCAAAGCCCAAAAAAGGTGTATTGGTGAAGTTCATCTTAAGTTTATAGTAAACCTTGTATATTTAACCAGGATTTGTATTCTTTGGAGGTGGATGTTTAATGCAAGTGGCAATATCAATTTATCATCTTGAAGCTTAGTTCTCAAACTTAAAAGGCAGCTCCCAAATCAAGTAACCATCTGTTATATAACAGTGTTTTTAGTTTATGTTGGATGGGGTTACTCCTAGGGGATTCTCCAATTGTCAAGGAAATCAGTTCTACTGCCACATAGCAGCTTTATCCGTTATCACCATTCATCCATACCTCACCATTCAAAGACAAACTGATTTAGAAATTTTCAAGGTTGAAGGCTGTTGCTTAACTGAGGATATCCTTTCCTTCCTTCAGTTCTTTTGTTACAGTTGGGTAGTTCCAGCTGCCACAATCTGGTAGCAAAGGTCTGCAGAATTACTATTGCTTCAAAACAGATGCTTCTGCTATGCCGAAAACAGAAAGCAGATTTACAGTAGCTTCTTGGGATGTTTTGAGCCTAAATACTTAGACTGTTCATTTATTGTACACTGGAATCTTCACTGGGAAACTCATGCTGTTTGTAGCATTCCTGAAGAAAATGTTCTTTTACAGGATTATCTGCAAACAACCAAAAACTAGCTGCAAGGGGATAGAAGATATTTCTAGCTACCATATTTCAAAACATCACATATTTATTTAGAGTATCAAGCTATAAAAATATCAATTTCTAATTGCCAGGTTTATTTCATGCATTAAATGAAGTTATATGAGCCTAAAAATAAAAATGTTGTCTTCTGTTTTCACAAGAATTAATTAATACTGGCAAATAAAAAGCAGACACATCTCTATTCTGGAATGTTTTTTTCTACTTCCCAATCTAGCCTACAATCCTGGTGATTTCCCATCTAAGTACTAACTAGGCTTGAACCTCCTTAACTTCTCTTATAATTTTTTATTTTCAAGTTCAGCCAAGGTTACTAGGTATACCCACCTAGCTGGGCATTAATTAAAAACAGACAAACAACCAAAAAATCAGCATAAAAAACACAATGTAAG